AATGTGGATTTCCACTCCGCCTCAGGATGCCGTCGACATGTCAACCAATTCCTCAAGAATCTTCGCGACCGAGAACTCCAGTTGAGTCCCCAAGGCCGGGTGTATTTCACCACGGACGAGCTTGAGGACGTCCTCAAACAGGTCGAGGAAATGGAGCGAGGCATGCGTCCAACGACGTGCAGTTCGGGCGCCACAAGCCCCAGGGCGTGGGCCCAGGCACCACTACACGAGGCGGGGGAGGAGCTTATGCAGCTGTAGCAAACCCCGAGGTCCCAGTACCCCAGGCCCCAGACACCGAAGGTTTGAGGTGGCAAGATGAAGACGGCTCGGGGTACGGGTACCAGTATGACGAGGCCTACGACGGTCTGGTCGGCCAAGAAGAGGTATTCCGCGCAGAACCCCCGGGGTCTTGGAATGACCGCAACGGACGTTCCCAAAATCGTCACGACCCCAGGGGAGGAGGTCCTCCCGGAGCTCCCTGACCCTCTGTTCCGTGCCCCGTGTGTAACAAGCCGGGATATATTCGGGAGCGCTGTTGGCAACTAATGAAGTGTGATCGGTGTGTGGGGAAACACCCCACCAACCAGTGCAGGCGTCGAGAGAGTGAAGCCTGTTGCCAGTTGCACCCCGCAGGAGAATGTGCGGTCATCAAAGCCTTCGAGGAGGCAGCCCAGTGAGGACAGCTCCAGGGGCTTCCGGAGGAGGTGTTGCAGAGGTTGCGCCCGGAGGCAACTCCTGCGTTAAACAATTAGGCTCGCTGGGTAGGGACCCAGTACGCGACGAGCCTAAGTCCCGTCGGATCTGCTGCGCCTATGCGTATGTAGGTCATAACGATCCTCAATGTATGTCAATTGCATCAACAACCGCTTCCGAGCCCCGTTCGGTCTACGCCAGTCATGTCTCCCCAGACGAAGACGAATTCTCGTTCGAACTCCAGCCTGGGAAGCGCCGAGGCTGGTGGGAAGCGAACCCCTGGGACGATAATGCCTGCTCTGTAGCTTTCGTCCACGGCTCTGTCTTCCACCATCGTACTCTGCTCATGCTCGACTCCGGAGCTTCCACCATCATTACCAGCCTAGACCTAGCGCGTAGGTTAAAGCTGAGGGTGGAACCCAGGGGCGAACTACTGCTTAACGGGATCCACGGAGTCAAGACCAAAGTCACGAACAAGTGCCGAGTCAAAATAACACTCGGGCACCGAGTGGTGTACACTCTAGATGTCTGGGTCGGGAACATTGGCCAAGGCATCGATGTCCTCTTGGGATTGAACTTCATGGTCGCCTCCGGAGTACGGTTGTGTGCCCACGAAGGGGAAGTAGTGCCCCTAGACGAAGAGCGGATACTTCTCGTCGGGGGCCCAAGCGCTCGCACCTGCGGCGGACCATCGACGTGTCTATCCATGAGAGTCTCTGGTTAGCCCCCGGCGACAGCAAGTATATCCCCATCCGGACCTCGGAACCAGACCTCGGGTCTATGGACGTGTGGGTCAGTCGGGGGGACCAGTGGGTGACTTTAGTGGGGTTTAGCACGAAGCGACTCCCAGTCGCCGTCCGGGTGGTGAACATCTCCCGGAAACCAGCCCCAGTACTCCCGCACACCAAGGTTGCCACGCTTACAGATCGGGATCGGTTACCGCTAGGGACCAACTTCGTACGCCCTGGGTCCTACCAATATGACAAACGGGAATTCCTAGTCTATGAAAATACCCGCTCTCCTGCGGCGGAACGTCGCCTGGACGCGGAAGCACCGGAACGCGAACGGACTGCACCTCCCATGGTAGACCGGCCGACATACCCGACTCCGACCGGTGTCCTCAAGCGAACCCGGCCCGCGACCTCGAAGCCCCCGCAGCCTACAGAGTCTCTCAGTCCCCTAGTTCATCGAGGGACGAAAAGTCAGGGAAGCCAAACCCGGACACTTAACATGTAGACGGCTATAGGCCCGAGGTTCTCCCGACCGCTCCTGCTCCGATGTCTGGCACTGACCGTGTCATGACCATGTCAGCTACAGTTCCGGATCCGGAGGACCCCAGTTCCCCAGCTATGAGGAGCGGGCCCCGGACACCGACGCTCAAGACTCCTCGGAGGGCGAGCCCGCTGCACGGCCCACGGTCTTTCAGGAATCATTCCCGGAGTCCCCCGACTCCACGTCTGTAGACGCCCAAGTCGCATTGGCCCGGTCGTTGGTGATGGTAGCCATGTCTCGACGCAGACCCCGCCGTCTACTATCACCAAGGTTCTGACTTCGTGTTCTTGGACATACTCAAGAACCAGCTGGCGTATCTCCCCGACTTCAGCGATCTCCGGCCTGAGGCCAACATCGAAGACGCAATTGTCGGCGAGCGCGGGGAGTCGGACCCGAAGAGGAAGAGAGACTTCGGACAGTCCTCCGGAAGCACCGGTCGATTTTCTTGGGCGAAGGATACGCACTTCCTCCCCCAGCCCGGGGCGTCGTGTGCGACCTAGACGTCGGGGAAGCAAAACCTATTTCCATGCGGTCCCGGCGAATCCCCGCCGACTTACTATCCAAGGTGTATGAGCTCCTCAAACGTCTCCTCGAAACAGGACTGATCGAGTACTCCAACTCAGAATGGGCCTCTACCATCGTCCTCGTGACGAAGAAGAACGGCACCGACGTCCGCTTATGCATCGACTACCGGTTGGTGAATCCAACAACTCCTGGACAACTGTCTCTGGGGTTTCGTACGGCTACCCCCGGACGAGAAACGACTCGTCGACTCGGAGGTGTTAGAGTTCCTGGGAATCTCTCCCGCGGACTCGGTTGCCCCGGCATCCCAGGGCACGGAGCCCCGGGGGGATGGTCTCCAGGACTAGCACCGACACCGTATTCCACCAGAACCGGGTCGCCCCGGAACAGATGGGGCCTGTGCTGTCCCGGAGTTCGTACATCGATGACATCATCTACGGAGCTCCGTGCTGGGATGACCTGTGCAAGACGCTGAATGCCCTCCTGTACCGACTGCGGTACTGGAAGATCTCAGTGAGCCTCCCGAAGAGTGAATTTGGAGTCAAGAAGTGCAAGTACCTCGGGCACGATATCAGCTCGGACGGAATCCGGACATTCCCGAAACTGGCGGAAAAGGTCTTCAACTTGCCTTTCTCGAAGACCCAGAAGGGAGTACAGTCCTTCCTCGGGAGCCTCAACAACTATGCTAAGTTCATCGAAGACCTACCCGTGCTCGCAGCCAAAATATCGGACGAACAACTCCGTTCCGGGCGAGATTTGGAGAACCCTAAGCATGCGTTCAAGATACTCAAGGGCCGACTAGTGTCGACACCACTACTCCAGCACCCTGACCCCGGGAGGCAGTACGTAATCATATTGCACGCCAACCTCTGGGCCATCAGCGCGGTTCTAGGGCAGGACTACGACGGCACCATACTACCCGTGCGGTTCGTGGGACGAGTTCTTCAACATGCCGAACTCAGGTACCACCCCGCCGAGAAAGAAGTACTAGCGCTTCTCCGAGTCCTGAACACATGTCATACTATGATTACGAGCTGTTCCGAGAAAAAGATTCGCGTGTATACCCGGTACTCGGCGCTAGCATGGTTGTTCAAAGGTAGATGGGAGGTGCCTCAAGTGGGCGGTCAACCTGTCTCCCTGGGACCTGGATATCCGGCGAGTCTAGAACGATGAAGATGGCCTGGCAGCGATCCTGAGAGCGGACATCACTCCACGGGAACGCCTCGACGAAGTCGCCGAGACCCTAGTTCCGGACAAGGGTTCCCGGATCAGGACACCGCCAGTCAGCCTGGAGATGCTCTCTAGTGGCCACATCGGACATCTGCTGAGCTTCGACGGAGCTGCCAAGAGAGATGGGTCCGGGGGCGCCGCATGCATCCTCTGGAGACTCCCGAGTTGGGAGATCGTGGCAGCCACGGGACATTTCCTGGAGAAGGCGACCGTGAACGAAGCCGAATATTCCGGATTAGTCAAAGGCATGCAACTCGCTCTAAACTCGGGGATCCTGGAACTGGTAGTGGTTGGGGACTCCCGGCTAGCAATACAGCAGCTTCAGGGGGTTATCGGGTGTACCCAACCCCATCTGTTGAGGCTCCTCCAGGAAGCCGAAGGACTCCAAGCTAAGTTCAAATCCTTGCGCCTGGTACACGTGAAGAGAGACTTCAACGCCGCCGCCCACTACATTTCCAAGCGGGTCATCCAAGAGCAGTCCTCATTAGAGGTCACGGACCCCGGGCAGCGGAAGTTGCTCCAGGACCTGAACCGGATTCACGAAAAACTGATGAAGGACCCGAGTCCCAGGGAACAATC